TCTAACTTGGGTTTTTAAGGGCTCAAAAATGCTTCCTAATTCAGTGTCTTGGCCCTGTTGGGAAATGGAGAGAATCGGCCGTCCGTTCTTCGTGGTTGGCTGTTTGAAATGCAGGTGGTTCTTGTGCCCTTTGGACAAGTTTCTTAATAGTGTGTTCAGGGCTCTCTAGCCACGGGCCTCTCGGAGCTCAGAGAGGTCTCTCTTAGGAGCAGCAGTGTGCGTTTCAGTTAATTGTCCAAACATCTCCACCCGAATCCTGAAAATCCTAGATTTAGGACCTGTTTAGGCATGTTTCACATTTCAGTTGGCGCTTTTCCATCAACCACGCTAAAAGAAGAGTGATGGTAATTTATTCATCTTATGTTTTTAATGGATGCTGTTCATTCCAAGCGTAAGTGCTCTTGAAGGAAATTTGGAAAATGTGGAAAGAAAGGAGACGGAAAAAGGAGTCAACCCGTGAATGCCCTACTACCCAAGCTCAGTGATGTTAACAGTTTGTATTTCCTTCCAATTCTTTCCCTTTCTGTTTATTTGCCTAGTTGTAAGATACTTACATAGACAGTTCCCCTTGTTTTTAAGATGCAGGATATTAGGTTAATGAAATTCAGGTTGTATATTGAAAAGGTTTAGTAAATAAATTGAATTTCCTCTCATTCGCACTCTGCAGGGTGTTATTCCAAAGAAAACTAAGCTGCTCTGATTTTTTTTTTTAACAGATCATTACATTTGGTTTAAGACTTATAGGGTATGGGGGAAATAGGGAGAGGTTGGTAATAAAAAGGTACAGACTTTCAGCTTTAAGATAATAAGAGGAGCTGTGTAACACATGGTGACTGTGGTGGATAACACTGTGTTGTATAATTGAAATTTGCTATGAAGAGTAGAACTTCACTGTTCTCACCAAAACAAACAAACAAGCAAATAAAACCAGAGAGATAAATGTGTGAGGCAATGGATGTGTTAAGTGGATGGGGGGGGAGGGGGGGATTCTTTCATAATGTATAGAAATAACAAGTCATCATGGTGTACACTTCCAAATAGTCTAAAAATAAGAGTAAGGTACATAATGATTATTTAATTGAAATTTTTACTGAGGTTACTTTGTGATTGTTGATACCTTTATATTGTTGTTCTGTCAGTTTCTAAATCCTCTCGACCAAGAAACTCTGTCACTTATATTCATAATAAACATTTATAACTTAACCTTGACACCTTAAAGACAGAAAGTGACTAGAGCTCTGTGTCAAATCAAACCTTTGTATTAGACTTATCCATAGCTGCACTTAATTTGGGGCATTAGCATTCAATTTTGTTTTCTTTTTGATATATACCAAAAAGTATAGCAGAATATTCACAGGACCCCACCTCCACAGAAGATAAACTTTTTAGAGTGGGGGAGGTAGGGTGGTTAGGAGAACGGGGAAACTATCATCTTAATGGCTTTATTTAGCCCCGGCCATTATGTCCTAGCTTGGTCCCAGTATGTCAATTTATATTAAATTGTCGCAAGCACATTTTAAAATTATGTTTTCAGAAACATTTTCACAAGGATGTTTTTATAAATTAGACAAGGATGTTTATATAAACACTTTAAGTGTATTTGATGCGGAATTTGTGTTTCTTTGCAGATCCAGAAAAGTCCAGAAATAACACAACGGATGTACAAGTGAACGGGAATGTTATCAGAGAAGCCGACCAAATGGAAATAGAAGATGGTGATAAGGCCGGACAACTTAACATGCGTGGAGTTTTTCTGCATGTCTTTGGAGATGCTTTGGGTTCAGTGATTGTAGTAGTAAATGCCTTGGTCTTTTACTTTTCTTGGCAAGGTTGTCCTGTAGGGAAGTTCTGTGAGAACCCGTGTACCCCTGACCCCTGCAAAGCAATGATGCAAATAATGAATACTACTCAGGCAACAGTTTATAAGGCTGGTCCTTGCTGGGTGCTATATTTAGATCCAACTCTTTGTATGGTAATGGTCTGTATACTCCTTTACACAACTTACCCATTACTTAAAGAATCTGCTCTTATTCTCCTACAAACTGTTCCTAAACAAATTGATATCAGAAATTTGATAAAAGAACTTCGAAATGTTGAAGGAGTTGAGGAAGTTCATGAGTTACATGTTTGGCAACTTGCTGGAAGCAGAATCATTGCCACTGCTCACATAAAATGTGAAGATCCAACATCATACATGCAGGTGGCTAAAATCATTAAAGACGTTTTTCATAATCACGGAATTCACGCTACTACCATTCAGCCTGAATTTGCTAGTGTAGGCTCTAAATCGAGTGTAGTCCCATGTGAACTTGCCTGCAGAACTCAGTGTGCTTTGAAGCAGTGTTGTGGGACTCGGCCACAAGCCCTTTCTGGAAAGGATACAGAAAAGGCCCCAACAGTTAGCATTTCTTGTTTAGAACTTAGTGACAATCTAGAGAAGCCCAAGAGGACTAAATCTGAAAACATGCCTGCTGTTGTGATAGAGATTAAAAAGATGCCAAACAGACAACCCGAATCATCTTTGTGAGTCTTGAAAAAGATGTGGTATTTGACTTTTGCTTTAAACTGCAAGAGGGAAAAGACTCCATTGAAATTCTAAGTTTGCCAAGTAGTGTAATTGAAGTCCTTGTCTGGTCACACAGTTTAATTCTATTTTTGTAAGAACATAATGGGACTGTTTAACAGACTTCTGTATTACAACTTTGTGATTCTTAGTGCAGAGTACAGCTATGCTGTAACAATTTTGGAAAGCCAGTTCTAACACTATGTTACATTTTTGTTTAAATATAAACCTTATATAACATAATGACATTTGATTTCCAGTTTTTCCATGGTGAAAAATTAATTAGGGGGATAAATAAATTAAAATTGTTACTGGAATTTCTCTGCTTTTCTTTTCCCCCAGTGTTATATTTTGTTTATTAAAATTATAATTGCTAGAACTTTAAAAAATCAACAACTTTGTTTCCTTTGATACTTTAGGTAATATTTACTTGCTCTTTAAGGTCATTATATAGCATAGTGGCAGCATCTTTTCAGAGTGACTGATGGATATTATTAGGAAAAGTTTCTTTTTTTCTTCATATGGGGTATTTATAATACTAAAGATCAGTTATTATCCTGTGTTGTATATTGCTGAGTATTACTCTAATAAACAGTGAGATATAATTAACAACTTGAATTATAGTTTACACATAATAGGGCATATAGGGAGTAAGAGCAGGGAAGAAAGTTTACCAAATTAAATATTTAGATTATTGTAAATTAATATTGAGACTATATTTCTAAATTCTGAGAGTCTGAACATGTTTTTTTTCTTACCAGAGTTAGTCTAAAACATGGACGTGTTTACCAGCATTACTTGCTTTGAAAGATTGGCATCAGAAGCACATTTATACAGTAAATGTTTTTAAGGACATTAAACTCTATCTAATAATTACATGTTAAATGCAGACTTACTAATGGGATCTTTTAAAAAACCTTTTCAGAGTTAGTCATTTCATAGTGACCCATCATGAATGGATTCAAATGCAGCTTTTCAAACACCACCAGCAATGCTTGTGTTTTGCCAAGAGCCACTGACTTAGGAGAAGAAAGAAATCTGAAGGTTAATGCAATTTGGATATTAAATTTTAAAGAAGCAAAATGAGTTAAGGCAAAATTAATAATTAAGATTCTGTAAGTTATCCTGTCTTGATATCACTCAGATCTACAATACCTACGCAGGAAATAGTTCTTGGATATTTTATTGTTGCTATGGATTTTGAATCCACACACAAATGTTATTTAAGGCTATTTAAGTTATATTTTTCTTGATAGAGAGGGATTATGCTTTGTGAAGAAACTAGATTTTTGTCCTCAAAAGGATGAATATTAATATCAGTTATCATATATAGCTCTATTTTTCTAGAAACAAGGTATCCTGACTACTTCAGTGACTTTTATAGCTGACTACTTTTGAGATGGCCACCTTTTGGGATTTGAAATAATTCATTGTTTAATGGGTCTTAAGATGAAAGTGAAGGCCTTTGACAGTTAAATTCTGTGGTAGATGGTGTAGTTTTTTTCTAGCATAAATAAGCCTGTTGCTGGCAATGGGCCTATTTAAGAACAGCCGATTTTTCCAATGACAATGAGGTAATTTTAGAAACAGTTTGTAAGTTCACATTTACTATAATGGGCCAAAACCATAACCTGCCAATCTGTAATACATCTTGACATTTAATACTCTTATCTCATATTGTGGAATTTAGTTCCTAAGCTGGTAGTTACTTTGAATTTTGCAAACAATTTTTTAAAACATGAAATTGGGGAATTTCATTGTTTGGGTAAGAGAGAATTTCAAATTGTACTGTATCATGTACATTCCTGATTTAACACTTTAAACTACAAAGCATTAAGATCTCAAAACAGTTTGTTATAGAAACATTTCAGTAATGATACAATAGGATAACTGGTAAATATATTAGATTCTATGGGATTTTCTTTACAAATGCTCTATTGAGTCTTTTTAAAAAGGTTGTATAATGTGTAAGACATCAATTGAACGAGGATTTTTAAAAATAGTGTATAAGCTTGGGACAAGGGCTATTTTTTTTTTTTTTCAAAAGTGCTTTGAAGGTAACAGCCTCTAGATTTCAGTTATTTCACGTTTCATAATTTTGAAGTAGCTTATATGTAACAAAGTGGTACCTTGGGAAGGTTCTCTTTTTTTCAAAGGTCTTTGTCATAATAGTGAAATCAGTGGGCACTGACTCACCTTTTGAGTTTTAGCAGAGAATTATTTATTTCTTTACAATGCACTTTCTAACCCATTTTTAGCTATATTAGCATTATCTTTTAAAAATGCTTTTATATTTAAATATTGTGGGATTTAGGTGTCTTTTCCAAAATAGCTTCTTCTTTCCTGAAAGAAAATGAAGGGAATACCCTGAATTATTCGGAGACTTAAACCCAATATTTAAATATGCGGTTTTATAACACGGCATCAGTTTTAGGAGGTGCATCTCTCCTGGCTCTTTTATATTTGAGCAAGATCAGTGTATTTAGAATGTGTTTAGCAACTTGTCTATTGTCTCGGTTTAGTGAGAAGGAGGTGCTGCATGTACCTGAATTAGAACCAACCAGAAATTTTTCCAAGCCAAATACAGCCTTAGTGATGAGAGATTTAATTCTCCATTGTCACCTTTTAGCTTATATGAATGTATAGGTTTTTTTTGAAGGGCATACGCATTGTAAAAGTAAGGACTAGAACCTATAAGAAAAAAGTCAAAAAACTCTCAAAAACTTTGCTGTATGTATTTTAACATTTTAGAAAACAATGTTTGACTAAGGTATGTAATTTAAATAGGAAAAATTTCCATCCTTTGGAAAATCACAATAGGTAGGAGACTATGTTAACATTTTGTATCTTGTTAACAGCCTCAGTTAATTTTGAACTCTTGAAAGTTTTGAGGGAAAAGGCCTATGGAACCTAATGTGAAGTATTTAGTAGGCTGACTGGTATTGAGTTGAAGATTTTTACTGTCTCTAAGCAGATATCATTTGAATGATATAATGTCATTTACCTGCTGTCTTAAAGATGTTCACATACATAAATGTGGAGACTAGTTCTACAGTATAGATTATTTATTTTATTAGCGTTTCAGTTAAGTCATAAAACAGTGTTAAAACTCTTGGGAAGGTAAAGGGGTTTTTTTTTGTTTGTTTTATAAATTGCAACTGTCAAATACAGTGTTTGACCATCTGAAATGGAAATTGTAGTAGCACTATTTTGATGTAGCTATACCAATGCTGTGTGGCAATGCTATTTTGTTTTACTAACAAGCTCTGGAATATTTAGCAGTCGTTTTTACTGGCACAAGAGCTTTTTGTATGTCATTCAGTTTAAACTTTTAAACCAAAAATTTTATGGTCCAGTGTCTTTGGCAAAAAGATACTGAAGAGAATGTAACATAAAATTAATATGTGGTGATATATAAAAAGACACAAATTGCCACCTTAGGGTTCTGTCTTGAAACAGCACAATGACTTGTACCAGTGTATTCTGTGATTCTTTATGAAACTTCCATGTTGTGTTGTTTTGTGTCTGCCACAGTCTGTCCTTTGGGCCAGATGTGGCACAGTTAAATGCAACTATCATCTCATTAATGCAGATGCACAGAAGATGTCTTTAGTGCTGCAACATTTCACCTAACTTTTTGTATGTTTTATGACTGTGCATTGTTTTCCAAAGCTGTTCCTACCTCATCATTGAGGCTTTATGGATTGTTATGTATTATAAATGTTCTTTATGAGACAGACTACTGTGTTTCTTCTCATTTATTAAAAGTCAAGTAGAAAAATAAATTAATTTTTAAATATCTATTGGATTATTTTGTGCATATGGCCTCCCCTCCTGTGCTACGCTGGGTTGTGTAGAAGAGAGTTGGACTTCATGTATTGAAAGGGAAGTTGCAGCTTAACGTGAGTGTTGCTGGTGTGCGGAATGACTAGGTTAAAGGACAGTGACGAGGAAAACAAATGTGGGCAAAAATTTCAGTGGAAATTGAAAGGGTAATGGTGCAAAGGCTCACCAACATGAAATACTCAATGGCCGTGAAGTTTTTTATAAGCATTTATAAATTAATGTAGCTGTAGGTTAATATGCTTCTTTAGGTACTTGCTATTGTTTATTTGTAAGCATAGTTACTAACAAGGATTATTAAATATTCCACACTTACATAATTATCTGCAACTGTTAACCCAAAAGTACATGAGTTTGGTTGTATGAGTTCAGGACTATCATAAATGTAGTCTCATAAGAAGGATTTAAAAAAAAACCCTTATACTTCTGGCTGGGAAATAAACAGTTGAAAAATGGATTGACAATAAATGGCAGTAGAAAATTAATAGAATTGAAAAATACAGTAGATACTCCAAAGAAGGGGCAAAAATCTTTGGAAAGGATTTCTGTAGGTTAAAACTGGAAGGAGGGGTAAGGGTTGAAAGGCAGGGGGGCATGGAATAGCATGACAGTTGAGGGTCGAGAGGTAGGGAAAGGAAGAGAGAAGGTTGACAGCTGGTTTGAATTTGGTTTTATAGGAATGGAGGAAGCCATCAATAATTTTTGAGTGGAAAAATGAGAAAGTGGGAAAGACACTGTACAGGATAGATTCAGAGGGGGAAGTAGACAAAGTGAGACAGGAGGGCAAATCAGCTACTAGGGGGGAGAGAGACATCCATGATGAGAGTCACTGATCGGCTGCCTCCCGCACGCCCCCTGCTGGGGATCATGGAGCCCGCAACCCCGGGCATGTGCCCTCACCGGGAACTGAACCAAGATCTCCTGGATCCTAGGTAGACGCTCAATGGTTGAGCCATGCCCAGCTGGGCTCTCCTCCTCCTTTTAAAAAAAATCAGTGGAGTACGGCCTGGCATGGCTCAGCCTTTGAGCGTCGACCTAGGATCCAGGAGATCTTGGTTCAGTTCCCGGTGAGGGCACATGCCCCGGTTGCGGGCTCAATCCCCAGTCGGGGCCGTGCAGGAGGCAGCCAATCAATGAGTCTCTCATCATTGATGTTTCTCTCTCTCTATCCCTCTCCTTTCCTCTCTCTGAAATCAATAAAGATACATTTTTAAAAAAAATCAATGGATAATACAATTTTTACCTATTTTGAAAAAACAAGTGTTTGCAAACCCCCGAGTGCGCAGGCCGTGAGCACGCTCAGGTAGGCCTGGTGAGCGTTTCCTCTCTTAATTATAACTGAGAGACAAGTCACGTAAGGAACACCTATTTGAAATACAAGTTAGTGAGCAGGGGAAAAATGATTCTGCAGATTTGCTTCAACATCTGCTTCCCCAAGTCCCTGTCACATTCACGTGATAACTATTATTTTACAGGATATTAAAGTGTCTACATTCCTCCAAAGCACAAAGTACGAAAGAGAAAGGATGGTGCGGATGCCATCCCGTGTGGTTTCTCATTTATTGGAAGGCAAGGCTGCTCTTGCCCACAGTGTGGGATTGTGGAGAAGGGCTTATAAAGAGCAACCTGAAACCTTCTCTTACCTCAGTGTTTAAAGCAAAGCGTTAGCATTTTGTATGTCTTTTTATTAAACCAGTTAATTTTGTTAAGTGTATAAATTAGGTCTTGAATGCACTTTTTGTCTATTTTTGATGCTGGAACACATGGTACTATATCAACTTATATTTTAAAACTATATATATGTGTGTGTATGTAAATATATATTTCTATAAGTTTCTTGCTCAAATAAATAAGTCAATTGAAAAACTTATGCCACGTTTTAAACAGTGAGATCACATTTAATAGCGTATAGAACAATTTTTGTGATATATTGATCTAAAGTAAAAATATTGTTCCCTTATAAATCACATACACTGTGCAAAAATGACCAGGTACCAGGACCCGGTGCCACATAAGATCCTGGTGGTGCTGAGATGATGAGATTACACTTGGATGTGAAGGGCTGTGGCAAGTCGCCAGGCCTGGAATGTGTGGGTCATTCCTTGGGTTCTTAGCTGGCCCTGCTCTCTCCCAGCGGCAGGAGCAGTGCCTTGGAATTTTGATCGGGAGCGACTCTGCTGAGGGCTCAGTGGGGAGGGAAAGTAAAGGGACATTGTGGTCACCTCTTCTCCATCAGGGCCCAGAATTTCCTGTGCACAAACCCACTCGACATCTCCTGTGGTGGTTAGGGCATGGGTTTTGGAGACAGACTCTTGGAATGGTGAATGATGGCTACTAGACTTACTGTGATCATCACTTCATAAGGAATATAAGTGTTGAGTCATGATGTTATACACCTGAAGCTAATACGCTATTGTAAGTCAACTATAACTTAGAAAGAGAGAGAGGGAGAGAACCAGCTTTCTTCTCCAAAGCAAGTTTTTCTAATGTTTGGACTTCCTTCCAATCAGTCGCCAGCCCGTAGTTAGGTCACTGAAATCTGGGGTTGGAGGAACCCTGAGGAGCAGGGCTGGCTTCGTGGAGCTCTGATTTGTTGCGTAACAGCAGCGACTGCCTTGGTGACTCAGCAGGGTCCTGGGCATGCAAGTCAACCCAGGGAGTGACAAGCTCCAGCCCTAAGGCCTCCCAGCTCCAGGACAGGAAGGAAAGCCTCGTTCCTCTGAGCCTGGCCTGGATGCCTGGACTCCGGAAGCTTTGAGCAAATGCTTTAGCTCAGAAGTAGAGATCTTCCAGCTTGATTTTGCCTCCCTGGAAAAAAAAGAGCCTGATGAATGCAATGGGCGAGAACGTGGACTTTGCAACTGGAGGACTGGTTTAAGTGCATGCTCTGGCATTTACAAGTTATGTAACCTTGAGCAATTATTGACCTGCAAAATGAGGGCATTAGTATTTATGTTTTAGGAGACTGAGCTCAAGTGCGGTGCTGTAGGGAGCATGCCTAGCACGGTGTTAGCACTTAGCAGAACTCAATGGGTGGTTGCTATGATTATTTATACCCCCTTGAGCACTCCCATGCCAGCAGAACAGCCACCTCGCTACTCTGTCCAATTCTCAACCCTTATTCAAATACTGATAAAATGTGGCCCCTGTACATCCAGAGTCACGACTGAAAACGAGCTGCATGACCTCTATATGCAAAGTAAACGTGCATTGGACGAACTGGGCTGGGAGCGGGGGTGGAGCCACATCAGATAAACTAGGCACTTTCAATAAGCGTCCGGTTACCTGCCCTGGCCTTATAGAGAAGGGGTTGGGCGTCTTTCCATTTTGACCTTGGAACGTGTATTCTTGTGCAATTCCCTAAGCTTATCATTTGCAGGTGGATTCTGGTGAATGGAAACCTCTTTTGAATGTGGCAAGAAAATCTGCATTGTGTGTGTTTTAAGAATGTAGATTCACTATCTCCTAATGGCTTGGGTTGCTGACCCAGGTTTTCTTGCATTTTGGTATGTGTATTTCTGTGTTTGCAGAATCATTTTCTTTCTATCAAATACTTCTGTGGCTCAGAAGTTTTTCCTGATTCAAAGGTTTTCCACTAGAGTTTCACTTTCCCCATATACACGGGATTTGTAAGGGGTGGAGGGGAGGTCACCGGCCAGAAATTAAACTTTTCTTGGGGAGAACCGTTTGGGGCAATGGAGATCACTGAGTGAGCGCTAGTCATAAGCAACTGAAGGTCTGCAGAGACGAAGAATCCACACGCCAGCTGCCTTCGCCTGTGACTTAAGGCACCTCTGGTCCAAAGCAATCTACTCAGCTCTGGGGCTTTAAGAAATAAACTAATTTTTAATTACAGTTTATACCAGATGCATTCCCCTAGTAAACAATTGAAATAATACTGATAAGGTTCAAAGAAGTTTCCCTCTATTTGCTTTCTAGTTTTTAAAAAATAATGGATTTTGAATGCATCAGAAGTCTTTTTTTTTTAATAGTTATGATCATAAGTCTTGTCCTTTAATCACCATCGCCCTCTGCAATGAAAGTCCTGCGGAGTTGGGAAGGGAGGTGCCCTTGAAAGGTATTTCCACCTTGGCTTGACTTACTAGGTTAGTAGAAATGGACTTTTTGTTCTTCTTGGTAGGTTATTAAAACCCTCAAGGAATGTGCAGAAGACAAATTTAGTTTGAGGAGCCCAATAGGCCAAGGAGACTGCATAACAGTCTAGTTGTTTGTATAGCTGGAGTGTTGGTAAGAGGGAGTTTTTGACTGAGGGCTGCCCTAGGCCCGAGCATTATGGCTCTTGGGGGCTCCATCCTGACAGGGCCTGTGGGGAGTGTCTGCTCCCCACTCAACCCCTATGCCTTCCTGTGCCTAGGCGGCTCCTCGCCCACTGTCTGGAGGCCTGAGGAGCTCAGCTGGTCTCTCGCCTCTAGGACTTCATCTCCACTGACATCCTTTCAGGTTGAGGAGTGCGGGAGGGGAAGGAGGGTTGAGACTGGGTACAGGGAGGTGGGAGAACATCACCTGTGACGTGTTCTGTTCTGGTGCTCTCTGGAGCAGTAAGGTTCCTGCAGGGTGACGAGGCAGTATTGGGACCTGTTGCCGGAAAGGGTTTGATGGAGCAGCGGGTTCAGAAGCACAGGGCCGATTAGCCATAATTACAGCTCCATGTGGTGCTGAGTATTGTCCAAATGCAGAACCCTCCTTAGTCCTAGAGCCCCTGGCACCTTCTAAGTGGGAGAAGCCTTTCTAGAGAATAAATCCTCTTACCTCCCTATGCTCAACCGCACAAAAACAAGAATCACCTTTCTAATAGAGGTGTTTTCCCTCCTGGAGACTGGAGAGCTTTTCCAGACACAGTCATGATCATGTCAGGCCTCCTCCAGATCTTTAGCAAGACCTACAAGCCTGCTGATCTGGCTCCTGCCCACCTCTCCACCTCATCCAACACTCGTGAC